CAAACTCGCTCTCTCCGAGTTTGCTGCAACAACAATTGCACGCAGTTCGCCAAACAAAATTTCTGCATAACACCGACCTAAAACAGTAAATAGTAACACGAATACATAAAAGCAGAAGGAAACACGAACTATTCAGAACGAAAAATGACACTAAAGATGGCACAACGCCGAAACCGGGTTGTCTCCAAACCTAATTTGACAAGGGATGACATAAAATCCTTCCGCAATACAACATACTCCTACCCTGTCGGAAACACAAACAACCAAAATGACGTTTTGTTGTTATTTATTATTTAACCAAGAATAGGAAAACAAAAGTTTGATAAGCGTTTTCATTTCAGTTTCTACTGATTCTAGTGACGACCAGGGTATCCAGATTGTTAGAAAGAAAAAAGACATTTCTGAAAAAAATCGCAAAGTTCATAAAATTGGTTTAAATAATCTTTTATTTTAAAAATTAGATTTTGTTTAATGCAGATTTTAAAACCAAAAACGAATATAACGCCTTCATGGTAATAATAAGTAACACAAATCACTTATATAACATTAATGTACAAACAAATTTCTTTAATAATATTCATACTTTTAAAAAACATTTGTATTAACACATTTTCCAATCGGACTGCGTTATTAATAAAGTTATTATAACTCATATTAATTTATTAATCGCACAATCCGCTTTTAAGTGCTGGGCGCTAAAAATAAAATAAAAGCTATAATAAGGCGGGATAATCTTTCCACAACTGAAATTGCAAGTTTCACATTCAACGGGAGTTGTTGTTGTAGCGGCACTACTAAGCCCCGCCATATTTGGGTCTACGTTCAATCATTGTCGTCGAGCTCAACTAACGGGAGGCCCAGAAAACGAGCTGTTTCGATGGGTTCGGACCATCGGGAGTTGTCACAAATGCTGGTTTAATATTGGCAAATGTTCGATATGCTACAACAAAAACGAAAACAATAAAAAGTGTTGCCACATCAAATTGAAGCTCTAACTCTATAACCTAACATGATAGCGCACAAAAAAATTGAATTGAAGGTAAAAATCGCGGCGATTTCCTACATTTTTACGGGCAAATATTCAAAAAAAAATCGTTAGATTAACGCTAATCGCCCAATCTGGACACTCTGGTGACGACTCTACCCGTTTTCATAAAATCATCTGCGCACATTATTTCATTTCGCAAGAATTTCATTACTGAGGCCAATGCTAACGGTTCTTTGAAATGAATTTTTTGAACTTCGGGTCGAGTAAAGTTAATGCAGTTAGCAAAAAAGAATGTTCGATGGATGGAGTTTAGACTACTACAGAATTCACATTTCTGAAAATATTTTTACGATTATTTTACAATTAGTCGATTAAAAATCGATTAATTACAAACATAGCTACGATACAAATAAATCGTAAATTGGAAAAAAAGTAATCGATTCATTTAATCGAATGATAAATCGTTGCCATTACTAATTAAGTGTTTTTATTTGTCCATATGAATGGATTACATTCCTTAATTTTTTTGAAATTGTCTCGCTCCTATTGGTTGTCGCTG